TTTGACTGCACGGTTGGTGCGGTGGCTGGGCAACCGGCTGCCGTGCAACGTGTCGCGGGTTCGATTCCCGCACGGAACAACACTTTGTGTGATCCACAAATTGTTGTTTCGGGTCTGGGTGTCATTGTGTATGTGAACTTGTATGTTTGTAAACGCACCCACGACACAGGAGAATATCTTAGTGTGGGGCAACGTTTTTAAAAAAAATTTGGTGCATCTCTATTGCTTATGAGCTGTTATTTCACTATTGCCTGAACAGAAAAGTGTTTGTTATATTAAGGAGGTTTTAGTACATTAAATCTTGTTTTGAGGGCAGGGTTTACCCTGCCCTCAAAACAAGACGGGGTATGAAGTCGGTTTTTTAACGTACACGATATTCTATCCTCAAAAAATCATGGGTAGATAACAAAACAAAAAATAAAACGAGAAACATTTTAACAAAATGATTTATTGTCGTAACACGATTAAAACATATGCTTAAACCAATTAGAACATTAGTCATAAATATAACATGAGCGCCCAGATTAAAAAGGTAAAGCTAAGGCATAAATACTATGATTAGATGTTTCTTCAATAATTATACTACTTTGTACAGATAACATATTACATAAACATGATCTATCAAAAAAATAACGCTTAAAAATGAGCAACAAACGAGTGTCAAAATATGCCAAAAATATACTCAAAATATTTATAAGTACGTACGATTGCACTTTGTTCGATTATGCTATTTTTTTTTGTATTATCTATAGTAGCAACATAGCTTACGGCCCGTCTAACTGAACGGTCACTATAGCCTATGTGCACTGGCAACATCAGAGGCATCACGAGTGTGTTGCCAACTACAGAAGAATTTAATTATACCTTTTTCTAAATATTTTGAATATAATGGTTGAACAGTGTTACAAGATTGTGTGATGTAGCCATATATTAACTCGACTATATACTACTCAAGCCCAAATTGTATTTAAGAGGTATGTCAGCTACGTAAGTAGTCATCAATCTCTTTAAGCTTATCCCAGCACATCAGTAGGATCACTGTGTGAGGACCTAGCCGTATATAGTTTGCAGTGAGACCCTTGTACAACGAGCGTGGCCCTTCGTATCTGATCATCTTGTAGCCGCAGTCAATCATACCTTTGTATAAAGTACCTTTGTTGTTTGCATCTACCGCTGAAAGCAAATATTGTTTTATTAGATTTCTTGTGTAATCAGTTCGAATTTATGTGAGAGGATGGTGTGTTTACGACTACTGAGTAGAAAATCTAGATTTGGTTTGAATATCTATAACTGGTTTTAACTTTATTGTTCTGACCATTTTCGTATTTCTAAACAGAAGTCTTAACTTACGTTGATTACACAGCCTGGTAGCGATGACATCGAATGGGTTTAAACAGAGCGTCATGACGATTCCTCCAAGATTGGCCCCGAAGAAGGACAGCATCAAAGGGTACTGGGTGAACCAGTTGTGTGCTCGCAACCACTCCTTCGCATAAGTGAAGCTTAAGATCTGGGACGCGCTGCCCGCCATGCCGCGAGGTATTTGTGGACCCACCCCTCGGAATAAACCTGGAATTGGCGTTAAAAGAAGGCAATTAGTCAAAACACCCCGTTCCTCGTTCTGCTCTCCAAAAAATAATACTCGTGCATTGTTTAAATTGAATTGTTCGGCAGCACGCCTTGATGGGGTGACCTTGACTAAAGGTTTTAGAAGGACATTTAATAAAGGAGCTCAGTGACGTAATAGGAAAGTCTATGTTCAGCAGCAAACAAATTGTTGACAATAAAAGACTTTATTACGATCGTGGAAGATGGACTGAAATTTAACTACTTTCATAAGATATACACACTGGATATACATAAGCGAACACTTATGAGCTGTTTTACCTTTAAACCCTTCGTTTCTAAATATTTCAATAAGAGCGCCACTAGTGCTGGTGCCTTTATGCTGATGTCCTACTGCTATGGCTTTGGCTGCCTGAGCCTGTAGCCTAGTCTTCACCAAGTAGAACGGAGTACCAGCTATAGAGCCGAGGGCCCCGCCAACACCCGCGACTCCTGCACCCTTGAGCAATGATGTAGCCCCACTAGCATCTTTTAATATACCCCTTCTTTCTGCCATCCGGAAGGAGCCTAATCTGAAAAAATATGGATTTTAGTCACTGAATCATGTGAAATTAAAGACGTAAGTCATATTTTGTTCTTACTGCTTAAAACATGATTTGAATGACTAAGAAGAGTTTCTTCCCCTCATCGAATTTCATCACATTTTGATGAAAGAAAACATGTCGTTAATATTAAAAAAAATCATCGATAAAAATATTTGTTTAGAGTCTAGATTTCTAAACAACCTCACCTGAATATGTTCAAAAAGAATTGAAACCCGAGCATAGCCGTCAATCCACGTTGTAAGGCACCCAGTCCTTCGTTTTTGCCCACGACGAATATAGCATGAGGAACATTTTTATAAAACACGGCGTGTTTGCCCCTTGCTTTCAATTCCCCCTGCAGCTGCAACCTGGTCTTCACCACTTCGATGGGGTTTGTGAACATGGAGGCGAACATAGCTGATGTTCCTCCCATCAGCAGATCCGTGACGTCACGGTTTAAGTTGCGGGATTTTTTTATCTGTGCCTCTTTCGCCTTAGTCATTTTGTTAGTCTGTGGAAGAAATTATTGGTTAGTTTACGTTGCTCTAACGGTCGAAATGCACTCGAGGAAGGAAATCGCAGCCTCTTGGGGCTGCTACATAGTGGGGGGTGCGATGAATCCGCAAGGGCATCCTGGGTTACGGCCACATGAAGAGGAGGAAGTTCACGATGGTTTTAGCCGGTAACAGTCCGGCACACACCCCCGTCGTCCCCACGACGTGGGAAGTCAACGACGATTTTCATTGCGTTATAAAAAAAACGGTCGAAATTACGAGTCATATTCCAAAATCTGTGGATTGATCAAAGAATGATAGAAACTCCACACAACTATTTTATTAAACCGATCTTTGTCGAAAGATTTTGATTGAGACTTTGAAATGGGTTATTAATTTCAGCCGTAGTTATATAGTACCTACTATTTAATATTCTCTATATGACTATACTATTGAGAGTATTAATATACTATTCAGAGTATTACTGTACTATTCAGAGTATAGTAATATAGAGGGTAAGAGTGAATGCTACTTTATACGAATTATCGTTTTGATAGTTTGTTTAGTCGTTGGTAGACGCCTATGTCCACGCCTACGTGCACGGGCGCACGACTTGTTGAAGAATCTTATAGATACGAGTTACAAAATTGACATGACACTCCGCCATTGTAGTGTCAATTAATCGCGCACGATTGTGTGACTGTTATGAATCGAATTTGGATTAATTTTGTTTTGAAATCTAGTCACCTGAATTTAGCCTCATACGCCTAGATTTTAAGGCCCGTAGTTTAAAACTTTAATTGTGACGCACAATTTAAATTTGCTATTCAATGCACATTACTGTGCAATTTACATTTACATCCATAGGTATTCTAAAGGTTTAATGTTATGGATACTAGAAAAATGGTTTTTTAAGGGGGGGAAATCATCGAATGACTGCTTCTGCCCGGGGTAGGCGGAGGGAGTGTCAGATTCTTACTGACTAAAAACTACCCCTTTCGTTCGTGTTTAGGGACATTATTATACTTATAGAACTGGACTTTTAAAATATATCAGTAAATGGTATCGTTAATAAAAACTCAGGGTAAAACAATTTAAAACTTTATTGCTATTAACATAAAGATAAAATTCTCTAATTGCACCAATGTCACTATTATGCTAACAATTAACACGATTAATTAATTATACATTTCTCTACTATATTTACTTATTGCTAGCAATACAAAAAAATTAGGCACTGAGATTTAATGCTTAGGATACACAAATAACTTGCATTAAAAGAAAAACAAAGAAAAATAACAAAAAAAAAATGAGTTGCCACATAATAAAAATTACTAAATAACCAACTGGCAACACCTAAACAATGTCAAATTTAATTTAAAATAATGCAAATATTGTACTACAGTTTACAATTAAATGCTATAATTAAAAATACTAAGAAATAAACTTAAAATGCTTGTATTAAGGTATTTATTTGCAATAATACTGAGATGCGGTGTTAGGGAGGTTATGAGTTCAGGTACTAAAATGGGGATATTTTCAAATGAAGTGGCACACCAAACTACTCCAATGTGTCAATATTCGTCATTAGATTTTCGGCTTTACATCCAAAAGATAAAGTTGACAATTTGACACAAAAGAGTAGGTTGTTTTGCTGCCCACTGTATCTCATATTTCTACAATTTATAGAAATAGGATCATTTGATTTATGAATAAATAATATTTTGGTTAATTATTAAAATGTAATTAATTTAATATGTGAAATGGATATGAATTACCTATACTAAGTGAAAATAATTATCTAATGTGAATGGATTTTTTATTTTTATTTTATTTTTAAGGGGGGAAAATCATCGAATGACTGCTCGAGCCTGGGTGAGGCGAGAGGGAGTGTTAGACTCTTACTGACTAAAAACCACCCCGTTCCTTCTCCTGCACGTCGAGCCGGAGCCTCGGTTACCCGTTAGGTTCTCCGCGACAATGTGAATGGATAATTAAACTTGCAAGTAGCAGTGTTCGAGATGTTAAAACTTAAAAGACGAATATCTTAGGATTGAGTTTAGGCGGGAGTAGGCGTTAGCGTAGTGTTCCACGCGCGCTAATCGGAGAAGGGAAGTAGCCTCCTAGGGCCGCTAAGGTGGCGGGACTTGCTGCAAACAAAGCGGTAGGTCGAGGCCTGCCGGTGTGGTGATTCCGTAAGGATAACCCTGGCCATGGTCACAGACAGTGAAGGAACACCGCGGTGGTTTTAGCCGGTAAGAGCTTATTTTGATCTATAGTAACAATTGTTATCTTATTAACATGAATAGGAGCCCGACCAGTTGAAGACCCTTATATTTTAACAGGTTAACTATTAACAATTTTATATTTTTCATATTTTATTATTAACCCATTAATTAATAAATATTGAGATAACATATTATTCAATTAAATTAATGAGCTTGTTAATTAAGAGCCCCCTCGTCGTCCCCACGATGGACGTGGGAAGTACATGAGGATTACCATCGCGATAGGAAAAAAACTGAACGAATACAAAAGAAGTTCAAATAAGTACATATTTTTAGTTAACTTTGTAAATCATGTGATAAAAAAGTATATCATCAAAAGTCCTAGGTCAAAGATTTTTCGTACTCTATTAAAATAATATCAACAACTATGGTTGGCTTCTTTTTGGACTCAACGAGATTCAACAGGTAATGCTTTGATATCGAATATCAAAACTAAAAACCGAGAACCAATAAATAACACACAAAACTGAACCTTATTACCATGATACATAAAGTCTAAATAAAAAAATTCTAAGTACCGTCGTAAAATACTTTATAAGAACCGAAAACCGGGAACGGACAAAACAGTGCACAAAATTGAACCGTAACGCAATGAGTAATAAAGTTTTAACTAAAAAAACTGAAAACCTATATAACAACACACAAAATTGAGCTATATTTCCATTAATAATAAAGTCTAATTTGAATAAAAATCTACATACCAATGATGTCCCCTATAAAACTAAGATCCCTGATTGCACACGAAGTAGTGACGTCATACGTCAGTAGCGTGCGGAAGACAGTTACATACAATATCAATGTTTATCAAACGTTACCTTATCACGTAATATATTATGACATTAGCGATAATATAAACCACACAGATAGTAAATACTTCAGTATAAGTGAGTAATTCACGTCTTTAGTTAGCGCTTGCCAACAGATCTCTTTGAACACAATATTGAAAATTTTAAAAGTCAAAGTCAAAGCGTTTATTTCAATTAACTCGTCGAGTACCGGTTTTGTAGACACAATAACAATAGGTTGCGGTCACCGGTGACCGCTTGGTGTTTGACAGTTTAAACCATAATTTGGTACTTTTGAAACGTCAACAAATACAAAATAAATAATAGCCTGTCAGTCAGTCCGTCAGTGAAGCTAGGTGAAGCTAGGTGCTCATTCCAAAATGTAGATTCGAATGGAGAAGAACGAGCAAGAAACTCCATTCGTTACTCTTTTTTTTAAATAGTATTCAATCATGGGTTTCACTTGGAGAAGGTATGGATAATAGGGTACATGACGCATTTTTATTTTAACGACGCCCATCTGGTAGATTATTTAAAAACAATAGACACGTACTTTCTATTTTCTTACGGAAACAAATACTTTTGACGATATATTGATTTGAAATTTCGCGTGACGTCACTTTTGTATACGTTTCATAGTAAAAAATGACATAGCTAACTCCCACTCCTAAACTTTGATTGGTTTTATCTAAGTATTAGTTTCTTATACGACAAAATAAAGAAGTATGTGTCTAATATTTTTTCAATATCTAACTGACGGACTAATTACATTTTTAATTTACATACCTTGTCTTCATCCCTATTTTAATGATCATGTGGACTTTTCTATCCATATAGTTCTCTTTAAAATACTCTTATTGCTCATTTTATTTACACTTGATAACAAAGAGCCACTGCTGTAAGTCGCATAAATGGCAATTAAGTTACGGTCAAAATGAGACAATTTGTAGAGATTTTTTTTTAAGTTGTAGGGTTCTATAAAATAAAAAATATCAGTGTCTCCGTTTCTTTGTTCCCACTCAAGTGTATATTGAAACCTACTTTATCTATCACCAATGTGAAATAGGTGGAAAATATCTCTTATGCTGGTTGAAATAAGGTTTAAAGTGACGAATGCAAGCTCACAAATAATACGTTAAGATACATACACAAAGAAACAAGCCAAACCATTCTACGCATTAAAAAAATAAATTAATAACTTAAAAAATAAATACGAAACCAATACAACATTGTAACGACTATTTTAAATTAAATAAATATAAATCTCACTTTTCCATTGCCTCGAGGCAAGGCACGAAGACTCTTACACAACCTGAACCACTATAAAACAAAAGACTATGCGTGTAGTTTAATACTTTTTTGCAGATCTTTTAGCATATCCCAGAATACTAATAGAAGCACTGTATGAGGTGCTTGGCGAAGGTAAGATGGGCCCATGCCTTTACAAAAGGCTAATAGGCCTTCCGCCTTTACGATTTTTCGCGCGCAATCGGCTATGCCCGCGTACATAACCCCTCGGCCGCTTGCGTCAACAGCTGAAACAAATATTTTTATAATAAATTTTAAAAATTTTGTTAAGATTATATTTTTATTTGGTTTTTTGTAAACATGGTTGTTGTAAGTATACATTTAAGCAAAATGCACAAGTGTATCTTCATTTTGGTATTCTATTTTGTATATAGGTTACAATCAGTGGCGGCTGTACTTTAAGTGCAAGTTTTCATGCTTCGGCACGAATGGGCCGGCTCGACCGGAGTGATACTACGGCCTCACAGAAAACCGACGTGAAGCAACGTCAGCAACGTGTTTCGTCGTGTGAGTGAGTTTACCGGAGCCACAATTACCCTCCCCTTCCCCAATGTCCCCAATTCCTGAAACCCAACGATCCTCAAACTGCTAATCCCCAAAAGGCCTGTAACGCACTTGTAACGCCTCTGGTGTTTCAGGTGGCCATGGGCGACGCCGATTGCTTACCATCAGGGCGCTTACTCTTGAAACCAATCTCAATGTCAATGCAATTTCAATCCAATACAATCTCAATAATGATTCAATGTCAAAACTATATAACCCCTTTCGTAGCTGTTGAAATAGCATTGAGAGTACGGAATATAAAGCCAAACTCAATGCCATTTAGTTCATTCAATATCCACGCAATACGGATGCAATGGGTGCTAGTGTTGCATCTCGAGAGTACGAAATTTCACAATACCAATGTCGATCGATCGGAATTAGATTCAAGAGTAAGCCCCCAGGTGATCCGTCTGCTCGTTTACCGGCTTATGCCATAAAAAAGTGCGTTCGTGTGCTGAACCACCAATTCAAAAGATTTAAAAATTGCAAAATATTAAGTAGGTACCTACTTCATCTTTATTTTTATATTACCATTTTAATTGGTTGGTTGCCGAGCTGACCAACAATTTTTCTTTTCTTACTTGTGTACAACATAACTGACTTCACCAAAATACTCAGAAAATAAAGCTTGCCATGGTAAAAATATGTACAAGTGCTACCTTGATTATAAAGCCGGGTCATAATGACATCCATGGGGTTCAGGAACACAGTCTTCACTAACGCTCCTATGTTGCTCGCCACGAAGGCTGACAGATACTTAGATTGTTGAAACAAGTTGTTATTATCCATCCATTCTTTACAACTGTGAAAGTAAGATAAAGGACTTTAATTAATAAAACTGGCGAGACTTCAGACTTTGTACTAGAAAATCTCTAAAATATGGAGGCATTTGATCTTATGTGACTGAAATAATGTTAGCTGTATATCAGAATTGCGGAAACCAGACAAGTATGGCGCCTATCATTTTCATATAATGGGAATAAATTTTGGCACAATATTATGATACTAGTAAATCTCAATCCTAGAAATAACCTAATTGGATGTACTATTAAATATTTATGTATGTGGATATGGATATGCACATATAAAATATCTTATAAACGGTTTTTTTTAAGGGGGGAAAATCATCGAATCATTGCTCCCGCCTGGGTGAGGCGGGAGGGAGTGTCAGACTGTTACTGACTAAAAACCACCCCGTTCCTTCTCCTGCACGTCGAGCCGGAGCCCCGGTTACCCGTTAGGTTCTCCGCGACATCTTATAAACGGTTACCTAACAATGTTGTTGACAGAAATAAAAAAATATTATAATTATTGTATGATAAGATTGACCTTACAACTTTAGACCCGTAAACTGTCATAAAAATATGTTTGAACGAGCGCAAAATTGTTTGAGTTTTACTAAACAAATGTTTTTTTTTTTATTTTTTTTTCTACAACAGCTTATCTTTGACAATTACCTAACTATAAATATAACATCAAACTTTATATTACACACAGTCATTGTTAGAGTTCTAATATCTAGCTACTTTTCGTTAATGTCATCCATATCATAAAATATCACCTTTGTAGCAGGAGGGCAAATGGGATTTCTAACTTTGACTGATAACTTCGGAAATTCCGAACAAAATTATACTTTGCCCTCCGCAGAAAACATTTTATAAACGCCATAGTCAATCAAACAAAGTAAGCCTTTTCACAGCAAGAAAGATTTTTCACGTAATTTTTTATTATAAACTGTTATCACTACAATTATGCCCCTGTCATTAAAAAAATAATACAAGGCTACCATTGACGCAAGAGGGCGTTGTCTAGCGATGTCACGGAGATATAGTGGAGATAAAAAAGGCGTGTCAAGAAATTTCATCAGCTGTTACTACTACATTATTACTACGCTATGACGTTTTTGTTATCAGGGCTTCAGCAATCTGTTCTAAAAAAACAGAGGTCAATTCTATTTTTAAATGTGTGATTTTATCACGATAGTGCCCTGCCCTCTTAATTTTCCACTTACATTTAAAGATTGATGACAGAAACGAACATGAGTTACGAAACGAACAGTAAATTAATAGTAACAAATACTTTTAAGGGCAGACAGTAATGAAGACATCTTGTGATTGATACAATGATGATGAAATATATTTAATAGACATTTCCAACTCGTAAATGTCCGATTATGAAAAATCCACAATATTTGTTCATACAAAAGTAGTCTCTAAACATCAGAAATAAAGTCTATAATGGAGTAAGTGGAGAGCAGTCATCTGTGACCGTTTGAGGATTGACCAGTTAAGACTATTACTTAGTTGTAAAATAAATAAAATAAAAATTACTTACACAGCAAAAGAAGCAATTTGAGATGCAGATCCAATGGAATTCCTCATCATCATTCCATGGGCACCTCTCCACAATCCAGATAAACCATTCTTGGTGTAGATTTTCTGGAAAGCATACATCATGCCTGGATGGGCATGCTGAGTGCCTACTGCTATCTTCTGTGAGGAGTAGGACATCAGCTGGGTCTTCACTAGCTGCAGTGGACTACCACACAGTCCTCCACACATCCCTGACACACAGCCAAAGAAGAGACTGTTCACAAATTGTGTGTTATTGTCCTTATCCCTAAGGAAGCCATAGTTGTCCGCTTGTTGGTAGATGCCTAATCTAAAATAATAATAGTATTGGTTAATTTAGTAAGTAAAAGTAAGTGTGTTGATATTTTCTAAATTATTTATTTACAGTATGCACTTTAAAAGTAACTTGTTTTAATTTTCTTGGTTTTTACTTAGAATATTTAAAATTATTTTTAAAGGAATTAACAAAACATACAAAAAATGCAATAAATAAAAATAAAAAATACCAAATTAACCTCTCATGCTCATTAAAATCTCAATCACAAAAGCCCATTGAATGAAAAAAAACCAAACCAAAAACAAAAACCACAAAACAGCTTACCTTACCCCATTGACAACTAGTTGGAACCACAGAGCTGGCACTAGTCCCTTCTGCAAGGCGGCAATGCCATCATGTTTCACTATATTAAACATTGCATGTGGCACATTTTTATAATGGACCGCATGTTTTCCCCGAGCTCTGAGCTCTCCTTGCAACTGCATACGAGTCTTGACGACATCAAACGGGTTGCTGAAAAACCCCGCTCCAACTCCTGCCAGGCCTCCCACAACGAAGTCCATTGTACTACGAAAAGTAAGTGTCCTTCAGCCTTTATTTCAAACTATTATAATAATAGCGATACTCAATATCTATGGTTATTTAAAAATAATTTTATCAGTATAACTTTACTTAAATAGTATGCTCTATTTGATAAATGACTAGTACATGCAATCTGTTATATATCTAAAAGTTAGTAGTTGAATA